TTCTGCATATAATCAGCATTTAGATTCCGTGTCCTGCACCCTCATCAATCTACATTTGATAGTTGTGAGTGGAAATAATAGAGCTTTGCCAAACATTGAGTACCACCTGAACATACTCTGAAGTCACCTCTTATTTCTCTGCTCTCCTTTGGCTAAGCCTGCTCCTATGACCAAGAGTCAAGTGGCCTTTTTTTCTCCATTTCTCCATGTGGGTGCGGCTTTGTTTTTGTAGTACTCTCTGATTTGGTTGGGGGTGTGAGCGGGAGGGGAGAAAATAAGAAAAATTCATGCTGTTGAACATATGAATCACTGTGCAGTCAGAAAGGGGGGAGGGGGGGTTGCTTGTTTGTTTTTTCCCTTCTCCTTTGTCTGAAATTCCATTAACATTTCAATTTAATTGGAAAGGGTTTTTTTCTAATAATTTTTGAATCTAGTATACCTAGCTCTTTACCCTCCCCACACTGTCACATTTGGCTTAGTCCTTATTTACAGCTGTGTCCATTCTGAGATGATTAGTTCCATGAAGTGGAAACGGCTAGCTTACATTATGGTTTAGTTTTCGAAGTTGAGTTGTGGCAGCAGAATCACGTACATAAGCTTTGCAGCAAAGTCAAGACCTGTTAGTCTGAGTATCTCTGTTGCAAGCAAAGGCTTAGAGCTTTTCTGTGCTTACTGGGCAATTGAAACTGGTAATTTATTCCTCGGGGGTTGACTTAAGTGGGTCTAGTGAAGACCGTTAAGTTGACCACTGATGACTCTCTGGTTGTTTCTGTTATTCCCATTGGAATGAGATGCATAAGGGAAATAAATGGGAGAGTTTCTTCCATTGACTCCCTACAGTGGAGTCTTCACGGTAACTCAACCTAAGTTACATCTAGTCCAGCTACAATAGTCACATAGCTGGAGTTGGTAAGTTAGACCTGCCCTTAGTAATATACAACAGTGTTAAGTTCCTCAGTGGAAACTTAGGGCAGATCTACACCACCAGTTAGGTTGATCTAATTTACATTGCTCAGGGAATTGAAAAAACCCTCCACCTGTCAAGAAATGCAAGTTTTGCTGTTTTCACCGGTATTGTATCAACACCAATGCTGTGTCAACAGAAACTTAAGACTTCTCACTGAGATGGATTAATCTTGCTGATCAGAAGAGTGCTTTCTGATTGGCATAGCTTGACTTGACGAAGTGTGTTATATTGGCATGGTAGCACTGATGTAGAACTGTCATGTAGGCATGTCTTTACCCTTTTTAACTAGTGCTATTGCAATATTTGAAGACAAAAGTTGCATGACTCTTGTGTGTGCAGCAAAGGCACATATACCTGTGTGCTTAGCTTTTCAGGCCATGGTCTTAGCGTATAAAATCTCTGCATGTACTCACAGGCAATACAAAACTTGACAAACTTTGGTTGTAGCTTCACAATGATATTTAAAAATGGGGAAAAATGTTCATCTGTACAAATTTCAGGGCCTCTTGAGAGGAGGGGAAATGATACAAAAGCAGTTTTGAACTGAACTTGGTATGGTTTGCACAGCAAAAGGAAAGAGGTGGGGTAGAGGAGGAGGATTTCAATGTTTGACACCAAGGAGTAAAGAGAAGCATTTAAAGGTGATGTGCTCAGTCTCCAGTTGTTCACGTGTAAATTGTACTTATTGGGCTTTCCTGGCCCTATTCAAATTAGATGTGATTGCTTCTTCATAGGATTATAATCTTTGTGGTGAGTGGAAAATTCAGCCATATGCTTTGAGGGAGAGGATTAACTTTTCTAATTTTCTACTTGTCCTTGGCTATCCAGATACCTAAGTTACTGGTACTTCACTGTGCTTCTTCTTACAATGGAGTCTTAGACATTTCTCCCCTTTTTTTATCCTGGTCCCAGATGTTTCTTCATATACTGTGACGTTATTTGTCATGTTTAGTCATGATTTTTCTGGACAATTTGCTGTATCCCCCCAGGACTGCAGTTGAAGGATTAGCATGACCTACACCCAACCCGAACATAGGGAGAAATAACATGGACAGGCGCTTCAATTCTTACTCTCTCTTCCTTAGTACCCATCACCTCCTGGCCTTCTCACTTACACTTTGCCTGAAGTGAAGGAGATAGCAGCTATGAGCACCTAAATGAGAGCTTTAACAATAGTGGAGCTTCTGTTTCCTTCTTATTATGGAAGCAGTACTAAGGTGCACAGTTAGAAATTACTTCACCAAATTTAAGACTTTTTAACTCTTCATTGGACAACTGATATTTCTATGCAGATTTTCAGGATAAAACTACTCAGATTTAGAGAATTATTTTAAAATATTCCCATTTTTGCCCTGGGAGTCTAACTTCTTTGTTGTTTAGACTCTAAACATCAGTAAGACATTTAAACACAATAATTCACATGCAAATTAGGTCTCATAACATCTTTGAGGGTTTGTACTGCAATGCAAGAACCTAAATCCAGCCTCATATGCCACCTATGTACACACAAGGCAATCCAGTATCAGAGGGGAAGCCGTGTTAGTCTGAATCTGAAAAGCGGCGAGGAGTCCTGTGGCACCTTATAGACTAACTGAAGTGTTGGAGCATAAGCTTTCGTGGGCAAAGACCCACTTTGTCAGATGCATGCACCTTAATGCATCTGATGAAGTGGGTCTTTGCCCATGAAAGCTTATGCTCCAACACTTCGATTAATCTATAAGGTGCCACAGGACTCCTCGCCGACATGCATGCATCTGATGAAATGCGTCTCTGCCCACGACAGCTTATGCTCCAACACTTCGGTTAGTCTATAAGGTGCCACAGGATGCTTCGCTGACAAGGCAATCAGTTCACATATGTAGGTAATAAATATATGATGATTTTGTTGCAGTCAGAATTAATATTGGTGCGAGAAGGAAAAATGTTGTCTGCATTGTATTCTTGACCCATTAGAAGTGGAAGGAAGTTTTATATGTGATAGTGTCAACACAGGTATTAATATACAGTAAGGAAACTAGATAGTTCCTTGCTTTTAAGAGACTATATGTGAGGTATTTGCACTTGTCAAGGGAACTAGACTGTAGTCTAACAGTTTTGGGTGATGAGATTTGTCTTCATTAGTGGTTTGCATAGTACCTATTAACATAATATCTAAACACATTTCCTTCCTCACTAATTAGCCAGTGTGGATATGTATTCAAAATATTCTATATTTATAGGGTTTTTTTCCAGTATGCATCATTAATGGCATAATGCCATAAAAAACAAAGAATTTGGCTTGCCATGTTATATTACCTTATATTTTAAACCTTGACCTAAAGAACTTCCTGTATTTGACATGTGCAAAAGGTTTTTGGACCTGTATTTAGTGTGAAGTTTCTCTTGTATTACTGGTTTCAGCTAGCAATTACCTTTTAAGAATCTCTTTCAGAACAGAGAAAATGCATCCCTCATTTCTGCTTAACACAAAAAGAAGAGCGTGAGTGTTAGTTTGTTTTTTTTCTTCGAGGCTCTCTTTTCCTAAATAGCAGTCTCCTCCAAACATTTCTCTAGTAATTCATCAATTCCTCCTCCCCTCATTCCAGTAGTTTGAAGTCTTGAAAATTGTTCAGAAAGCCACAAGCAATACACCTTATTGAATCCCTTTTTGATAGATATGGTACAGTGGATCATCTGTGCTCGATTCTCCTTCCTTGTTGTCTAAACTATGTCTCAGTGCCACTGATTGACTACAGGGACAAATGATGTACGTATACAATCTGTGTTTTGGCCAGTGACATCAAAAAGCTTATTTGTTTCTCTTAAAAAAAATTTGGAAGAAACCTGTGGGAAGGAAAATGGGGAGACAGTCCTGATTTACAAATAAATTGGTGGATCAATTTCTCTTAAATAGGAAAGTGTAGTGGCATCATCTCTTCTATTCCTATCTTGCCTAAAAAGCCTTTTTTTCTCTTTTTTTTTTAACTCTGTGAAGTGTCTGGTGATTAAATTTGTTGCCATTATGACTGTAAGCTCTTGGCTTTCATACACATACATTCTCTCTATGCTCAGGCCAATAACCATTTTGCAGGCATAAATGCAAGAGCTGTGTGGGTGGATATAAACTCTAACCTGAACAGCCGTGTTCTCAAGTGGGAGGGTAATTTTGCCCCTTCAGTGATTTTACTAATCTCTTATGAGCAAACAGTGCCATTTCCCTCAACCTGTGATGAATTGCATGTGCCACAGAGTTGGCTGTTGCTCACCAGATACTTAACCAGGAGCAATAACCTTGCTCCATTTTTCTTAAACCTTTCATGAGAGATGGACACCTGCATCATATCGGGTAGTCTAATAGTTTGATACATAAAAGCAGTCTTCAGGTTTGTTTACCTGGAAAACACTGTACACATAAATAAACAAAATATTTGAGTCCGTATCTTTGCAGTATTGTATTCACCATAGAGTGTCAAAAGCTTGAATTTTTATTGAACCCGGACCGAGGGCCCATTAATTTTTTCCTTTCCCATAAAACTTCATATGGGGAATGAAAATAAGGATGTGTTAAATCAGTGGTGAGCAACCTGCAGCCCGTGGGCATCATGTGGCCCACTACAGTTCTACTTGTTGACCCCCGTCTGCTCCGGTGCATGGGGGCACTGGAGCCCTGCACTTCCTACTTCTCCCCCCTCCCTCCCAGCACTTTTGGAGCATGATGAATCAGCTGTTTATCTCTGTGCAAGCTCTGGGAGGGAAAGGATCAGGAAACAGCAGATTCATGGTGCTCAGAAGTGCTGGGAGGGAAGGGGAAGCATAGGAGGTGTGGGGCTCCAGTGCCTCAGTGCACGAGAGGCATGGGGGAAAAGGGACGTAAGAGGGGTGCGCGGGCCACAGGTTGCCCAGCACTGGCAATCATGAAGACCACTGATTTGAAGGAGGGCCACTCACTAGGCTTGGTTGCCCATTGCTAAGTTAAATGTTTGTGCTTTCTTTGCTCAGGTTTGCTTTGCTGGTTTCCTTACCTGCTAACTTGTACAGTTTCTTTGTTTTTTAGAATGTCGGGTAGTGAAATCTACTTCCTATACCAAAATAGCTTCAACATCCCGTAGGAGCACCACCAAGAGCCCAGGTCCATCTAGACGGAGCAAGTCTCCTGCATCTACCAGCTCAGGTAAAGCAAAGGAAAAATGTTTCCAATAGCAGAGGCAAATGTTTTTGAATGCAATTTGTAAAGTGTTAACATCTCTGAGTTTCTTGCAAGATACTGTACATAAACAATACTTTACACTAAAATATAACCATTTGCATCAGACAGTTATCTCAATATTTGAGACACATTTATTTTCTAATATAAAGATAGAAAAATACCTGTATTGCAAAATCTTAAATACCAAAACGTGGTAATTACTGTTCTACAGTATTTAATCATGTTTATTTATAGTAGTGCCTGACAAAGAATGGCTATACACCGTGCAAACACAATTTCTATCAGTCTGAGCTGTGTTTTCTTGTCTTTTAACTGTTCCACCCTAAGCAAACCTACCCATGCTCACCAAAAATTATGGAACTGACATATTTGCTGCCATCACATTGTTGACCCTGCTAATGTATTCTACCACTTTCCTCTCCCCATGTCCATCTGGTCTGTTTACACTGAAAACTCTTCTGTCTACTAGTCTGCCAGATATCCTAGTTTGACTGAATCTCATTGTTTGAACACTGTTTCCAGTGAACTATGTGGTCAGTTTAGGTCCAAGGAATATGACACAGCAGAAGGAGAGGAATCCTGCAAAGAGCTAATGGGATGAAGTATTGATTGTGTGGTTAGCATTAAATAATGTTTATAGGAGACAGTTGTTTATTCAGACAGTTTTTAAAAGCGTAGACATGGAGAACTTAATAGGGTGGATTTGTTCTTTATTTCTTCCATGAACATAAACTGGTACCATGAAATTTATAGGCAGGGAGAGTAGAGTTAAATCAGATTTTACAAAGTGAGGGCCTATTAGCTGTTGTATTGGCTCCTCACTGATAGTAAGGCCAAGCTTATGGATGAAATTATCTTGATGTATACATGATTTGCAGAATCCATTGCGAATGGCAAGGATTTCCTGTACTACATTGATGTATGCACTAACATTTCTGTGCAAAGTCTCTTCCCCCTCCCCCCCAACCTCTTACCTCTCAGGTACCAGGGGCACACAGTCTGCAGAGCATGCCCATGGACAGAAGAGGGCCCTGCTGAGCCTCAAGTTTCACTTCTCCCCCCACCTCCCCTGAACTCACCTAGGAGTCTGTCAGCTTGGACACATCCCTCTCCTGATGCTGGTGCTGTATGCTGGTGCCTTGGTCTCTGGCCCTAGTGCTAGCCTTGTCCAGTCCCTCCCCCTGGAGGCACACTCCCCATAGGGTTAGCATTGAGGGTGGAGCCTGGGGCAGCATTGCACAGTTCCAGCAGCAGGGAGGTACAGTTGGACTCATGGACCCTAAGCTAGGGTTGGCAGTCCCAGCCTGTGGATTGGGGAGGGGGTGTCCCACCCCAATTTAGGTATGCTTCAAGTAGATGCTGCCATAAATCCTACTGTAACAAGTGGGTCCCAGAGAGTATCAATTTTTGAGAGTATCAATTCAGAGTGAATTGCTTAGAGACAGAGTTGTCACTGCTTTGGACTGGGATTCCTCTACTAAAAGGCACACCCAACCTGTTATAAAGAGCACTTCTGTTCCACCACTCTGGTTAACAAGAAATCATGCAAGCAATTCCCTCAGACATTCCAGTTCTATTGGGCTGCCACCTGTAATACTCCTTATACGTATGAGAGGTTTTAAAAACCAGTCTCATCAAATGAAAAGATTCTTCTGATCCCAAAGGGCCAGTTGCATTCCAAGGCTTTCTCAAAAACTATGCTCTTGCCAGTCCTTTAAGCCTTTAGATTATAGATTTTGTTCAAGTTTGCTGGTGCCATGGCATCTACTGTCTCATTCCCATTGTGTCACTAGCACCATCTAGTCACATCGCCTGCCCCCATCTTGACGCTAGGTAGCCATCTTGCCAATTTTCACATCCTGCCCTAAAGCATGGGGATACTAAAGCTTCTCAATGAAACATTTTAAGGACATTAAAATGGGAAAATATCAGTTTTCCCTAACTCACTTTGATAAATGGATGCTTTATTTTCCCTGAAATGTTCCAAAACAATGCAGCCTAGTCAGATAGTTGACATGGAAAAGTTCATTCTAAAATATGAAAGTAAATAAAAACAGGATTTTATGATGAAAGTATTAAGCAATGCTATTTTCACCATCTATAATTAGGAAGTGATTTCCATAGGAGCAGTCATCATTCAGTACTGAGCAAAAAGGGTAAAGTTTTCTTTATTGTTTCAACAGGAAAGTGTAATGTTTGCACAGTCTTATTTTCACTAAGTTGTCGTAACAGAGCCATGTTTTGTTGTTTGCAGTTATTTATATTTTAAAGTAGCTTCTAAATTATAATGCCTTGCATTTGACCTTTAGCAGAATTAATTGCTTGTCTGTTTTACCTCTGCACTATTGTATTTGTAAATAGGATATAATAAGTAATACTGAAGACTTTAATTTGAGGACATTATTTAAAAAATAAACCCTATCGAAGTGTAATAATTATTTGCCAGTACCTTGTACAAAACCCTCAGACAATATAAATGTGCTGTTTTTGTTACAAATGACTCAGAACAGCAAATAACAATTAAGCTACACTTGCAATCATATGTAGAAATATCTTAAATTAAAATTTAAATTTTATCCTCTTTGGTTACTGAACTTGTATGTTCATTCCTTTTGGAGAAGAAATCATTGTAAAACCAGGAGTGCTCACTTTCTTTTTCAGCTATAAGTTTGGAGAAATATATTGTGCAGGGATTTAGAAGAGAGGGGTCACCCATAAATAAAAATGCACCATAGAGGCAAGCACCAGTAATTGAGGAAGATAACGTGTCCCATTGCCACCATCTTTTCTCAGAGACAAGAAACATTTTACATGCTTAAGACGTGATTAAAAAGTCTGCTCATGGTATGTGGGTATGCTTTTAATGGAAATGGAAGCAAGTGCTCCTTCAGCTTCGTGATGAGTTATATACAACTAAACAACCAACAACTGCACTTCGATTTTTATAGGATTTAGAGAAATTTTTCTAAAAGTTCAAACTAGTGCATTTTCTGTTGTTTTTATATGCCTTTGACATACTAGAGGCCATGCTCTGAATTTGCAGACAGCAGAAAACAGGCATTGCTGCTTCACTGTTGTGTAATTTGGTTGTGTATTATAGTTGGAAGCCCCAGAGTGATATCGGAGCCCCAATCTGTCCATACCCCTTTTTGAAAGTCAGTACCTATCCTGAACATGTTATCTACAGAAACCAAACAGACTAAGGGTGAGAGGAAAGCGACATACAGAGAGGTGCAGTGATTTGCCAACGTGGCATCAGAGGGCTTATCTCAGTCTAGTACCCTACCCATTGGACCCTGCTGCCTTTGTCAATTTTGTAATGTTTTCAAAGTCTATATAATACTTTGTGCCCTTTTATTGTTGTTAAATATTTCAAGGGTGTAGGATAGCTTAAAAATATTTCTGGTCCTGTAGAATGAAAAGTCAAATTTTATTCAATATCCTTTTTACCAGCAATCAGAATTAGTAAATGTTTGAAGGCTGTTCAGCAGCTTGTATGGAATGAGTTGATGGCTTCAGGCTAACTAACAATATCTGTGTTGGCAGCTTGTTCACAGGTTAAGCACATGAAGAATTAGATCCTTCGTTTCCTGGTCATGATTTTTAATTTCACTGATGGTAAAGTGGGGCAGTTTGTGTTACCATTGCCTGTGTATTGCACCTTTTCTTTGAGTTTAAGACTGAGGCTAAATCCTTTTGATTAAAAAAACTCTCAGTTTGAGTCTCCAGGACAATCAGCTAGCTAGTTACCTTTCATTAAATCAAATTTAATTACAAACCAAAACACCGCCCCCCCCCCCCCCAAAACTCATTCTAAACTCTTTCTTTCCCAAAGGTACCATATATTAGCGTATATAACCCACAGGTTATACACATTTTTACAAACCCCGTCCCCTCTCCCCCATGGGGTATACATGTCCGTGGGGTATACAAGTTTATTTTTACTCATAAGCAGCTCTATCCCATTAGCTGGGTCATCTCCGCTCCACTGTAGGGAGAGCCTGACAAGTTTCCAGTGTGCCTGCGCTGTGCTCTCTGTTCCCCCTCCCGGAGAAGCGTGGGTTGCATCTGGCTGCAGCTGCACAGGGTCTGGGCACGAGTGCGGCTCCCCTCTTGCAGGCTGGTCAACTTGCCTGTGCTGCACTCTACGTTCCTCTCGCTGGCAGAAGGATGACTACCTAACAAAAGATGGGTGGAATGCAGGACATTGGCATTTTATCCTGGTATGTGCAATTACCGTGAATTAGCCTATAGAACCCACGGGTTATACACGTCTGTGGGTAATCTAAGTTGTGTGTTTTTTTTTTTTTAACACAGCAAAGAAAAACCACGGGTTAAACACGAGTGCGGGTTATATACTCTAAAACACCGTACTTCAGTGCTGTGAGAAGAGATGTTATTCAAGAATGCCATTCCTGTTAGATTAAAAAAGTCCCATTTGACTTTAATTTAGCAAGTGGTATAATTAAGTCTTTATGACCAGGGTAGCTTACATGGTATCTATATTCTTTGTAAAGCAGACAAGGTTCAAAAAGAGTGTATAGAGTATAGTAGATTACTTAGTGGCATGTGTTAAAAAAATTGCTTCAGTAAAGGAATCCTATATAGGTTGAACTTCTCTACTCTGTTACTCTCTGGTTCAACAACATCTGTGGTCCAGCATGTTTTTCTTTTTGTTAGTTGGATGTCCACTTACCATGGTCTCATAAAGTTTGTTTACAGACACCAGTCCTGTAAACTGTGGTGTTATTTAGCTTTGATTTACCCATAAATGTCTTCTAAGAGCCTAGTAAGCAGTGGAAGTGTTAGTAATGCTGCTAGACAATATTGACCTTCCGTGGTTTGGCAAATTCTCTGGTTTGGCACCAGTCAGGTCCTGAGTCTGCTGGACTAGAGAGGTTTTACCTGTACCAAGTTTCAGTGCCAGTTTAAAATTGTATACATCTATAAAGAAAATAGGGCTT